GTGAAGCTGAGTATATAGATGTCATTCCCTTATTTTTTTCACCAAATTTCCCTATTCATTTTCTCATTCCCCACTGCATATATTGCATTTTTTAAAACCAATTTGCTTTAAGTTTTTATTTCATTCTAGCACATTCATCACAATTCATTTGTCATCTCTAACTTAGGTTTTTTTTAAAACCACTTAATTAGGAGAGGATTCGAGCATTTTAGTGTAAGACATCCATTTGTGCATTTTCAATTTTATCTTTATTGTATTGCATTTTTGTCATCATTTAGAATCTAAAATTCATTTTTTTTAAAATAAATAGAGAGGTCCATTAATTGTACTCATTGATTATATGTTATTATTCATATCATCTTCATGCCCTATAAACCATGTTGGATTTTCTTATCATAAATCATTCAGCACATTAAACACTTACATCATTATCATCTAACATGAATAAAGTTCAATTTTCATCCCAATTTTACAATATCATTATCATCATTCATTCAAATTCAATATCCCACAATCTACATTTAATAACATTCTCATCATGCAAAGGCAACATAAACCATTACTACATCACCATTATCATAACATTACCATCACCATTCATAAACTAAAAAAACACACTCCATCCTTCTAAACAACCACATCATCATCATCATTCCAATTTGAAAGAAAAAAAACATTATGTTGAATTCAAACCAATATTCCATGACCATGTGCACTCACATCACCGTCATCCCTTAATAACCAAACTCAAGTTTCATTATACCATTATCCAACTAAAATGCCAAAAACAAAATAACAACAAAAAAAGCAAAAAGAATTGAAGATAATAATGAACATTACATGGCAGCATCCCACTCCACTACACATTCCATAATACATACCATTAAAGCCATGAGTTGAATTGAAATGATAATGAACAAAAACAAAATCGGCATCATATTCATTAACATAACGCGTTATCATTCATCACAAGCAAGAAAAAGAATTGAATTGAAAGCAAAGCAAAGTGAAATTCAATTTGAATAAAAATCGGTTTTATTACGTGATAAGTGTGAGTAAACGGGTTAGATGACATTACACTTTTCCATTACATATTCCATAACACATCTATCCCTACATACATAGATACAGGTTCATCCCCATACAACTATCACGCAGCTCACACCTTGCACACAAAATTTTAACCTCACGAATTTTCCCCAAAAAAACATTCATGCTTTCCCTCATCTTACTCACACACTCACTGTTTCCCCCCTAATTCCTCACCACACGAGTTTCCCATTCACTTCAATCTCATCCTATAAAACTAGACCTTCAGCTCATTCTTTGAGACACTTTCTAATCCCCAAGCGCTGCCAAAGCTCAGAAAGCTTTGAGAGCTTCGTGTTGAAGTTCCAAAGCTCGAGCTCATAACCTGTATTAGTTGCTATTCCTAGAATTTCAAGAATGAGAAGAAGCAAATGAATAACAGAAGGAGAAGAGAAAAATATTTGAATCATACTTTAAGGTTGTTGACTCTCCAGAAACCTGAAAATTTTGTAGGTTTCGGCGAGGTATTTTCCTTCCGTTTCCTTTAACTGTTCATGTCGATTTACATTGCTTCTTGCATATTGCTTATTTTGGCTTGTTTGATATTCTTAATGTTGGATTTGTACTCAGGGAAGAATTTAAGTTGAGGTTTGTGTTGTTGAATTTTGGATCGGACGAGTTTGGGAAAAATCTGGAAACAGGGATGAACATGTTTTGCTCTTCCTTTTACATAAGTTTAATCCGAAATGTTTGAAAATCGAGTTGGTTTGGTGTTTGTGCTGAGAGAAAGAGAGAGAAAAGCAATTCAGGAGAGAGAAAGCGGAAGTGAAAACGATACTCACACGTTCACCTTTCCTATTTTTGTTCATTTCTCATCTCCTTCCATCTGCCCCATGTGGCATCCTTTTGAGCCAATTGATGCGCTGACTTAGACCTTTGACCAGGGGTCCCTGTGTATAGACCCCCACCTCTTATCATGCTCTCTCATTTGTTTACCATTGGATCCCCTTGGCATGCTAATCAATGAATCAGATGAGAGTCAAATCTCTGACTCTCTTGGACTCTTGAGATGGGTTGAGAGCCCTGGGAATACTACTATTTACGCCCCTATTGTTTTAAATTCTTGCTGAGTTTTTACTGTGTTGTTATTTTTGGTGGGCCTTTAGCCCACTTTTCCTCTTGCCTTATTCATCACTCATATCATCACATGCACCCCCCTTCTCTTTAGTTGTTATTCTATTATGTTTATCATGATTTTATTATTTGGTTAATTAAATCATTTAATAAATAAAATCAAAATTTTCAAAATAAAAAACCTTTATCAACATCAAGTTTTTCAAAATTAAATTCAAAACCTTTCTCCTATCAAAATTAAACCATTTTTCAAAGCAACGTGAATCAAAACACTTGTTTGATATCAATTTTTTTTCAAACTTAAGCGCTTCGAAAACTTTTCTGCAATAAAATATCAGTTGAAAAAGGATTAGTTGGACGTAATTCATAGTCCCTGAGTATTTGAATGATGGTTGTACTTAATCTACCGTTCGAGTACTCGTCTTCCGTTCAAAAACACATTAAATAACCGAATCTAGTTCATTATTTATTGGATAAAAAAGATTAGTTGGACGTAGTTATCCATCCTAGTCTCGAGTATTTGGATGGTGGGCGTATTTAGCCTCTCATTCGAATACTTGTCTTCCGTTGAAGAAAAATAACTTAATTCGCCTCAAAAATTTCAGAAATAACTTGGATGAAAAAGATTAGATAGACATAATTATCCTCCATAATCCTGAGTATTTGGATGATGGTCGTACTTAGCCTAACGTTCAAGTATTCTTTATGCACTCAAAGACATACTTAACCAAATCAAACTTATCCTTTCTCGCCCCTGTGCGATTGAAAACTTTTTCACAAACGAATAATGTTTTATCCATTCTATTGCGTTACAAATAAACGCTTAAAATGCCCCCCACATAAGCATACAAGCAATGTTTAACCGCTAGAATGCGACCTAAGCATAATCAACCAACGAACACTCATTTGCTACTAAGAACTACGTAGTTTGCAATTCCTCATCGCACCTGAGGATACGTAGGAGCGAGATTCAACGTCTCGTCAAGCACTAGAAAAAACAAAAAAATATTTTTATCTTGCCCCACGTAGCTTTGAATTCCTCATCATACATGAGGATACGTAGGAGGAAGACTCACAATCTTGTCAAGCACACTAATAAAAAAACTTAGTTTTAGTCCCTTTTTTTCCTTTCAAAACTTTTAATAATTTGAAGCAAACAAATAAATGAAAGCTAGCATTCTATTCGTGAATCTAACTAAATGGTTCTCGTTGAGTATAACAGACGTGATGGGTGCTAATATTTTCTCCTCGCATAATCAACTCTCGAACCTGAATTGGTTGCGAAGACCATTTTCTTCTTATTTTAAGGGTTTTATCGATATTTTTCCTCTCCTTTTGGAATAAATAAACTTCGGTGACGACTATGTTATCATCTCGAGTGTGCAAACACCTGTGGTATTTTTTACGTCGCAACAATAGCAAGATTTTATGTTGTCTGTCAAGCAATCTGGATCAAATTTTTGATGGATGATGAAGGTCAAAGTAAAGAAACCACTAGTACTGCAGATCGACAACAAGTTAGTCATTAATCTTGCAAGAAATTCAGTTCTGCATGGAAGGAGTAAGCATATTGAGGCTAGGTGGGAGAAGGTAAATGAAGGTGAACTTGAGATACAACATTGCTCGAATGAAGCACAAGTGACCGACTTTTTTACCAAAGGATTGAAGATCGACAAATTCCTAATTTTGAAAAATTAAGAATAGTTTAAATTGATAATGATTAGTTTATAATTAGTTACTTAAATTATAAGATGTATGATATGATATAATCCAAGTTTAGGTGTTAATTACTTATATATAAATACATTACAATAATACAATTTACTTTTCATTCTTCACATTTCTTTAAACACTCCTTCATTCCTCACTAAGTGCTTCAGTACTAACAATCGCTGCAATATTTTTGACTCTATGCATGTTACATTTTTACTTGATGTCTTAGCTATAAGGAAAAATGTAGGGAGTCACAACATTTGTCTCCTTAACCACCGGCCTAATAGCATTTTGTTCCTTTACATTGAATTGGGCAACATCCTACTCCACTATAATTGAAATAATTTTACGGAACTGAAACAAAAATTAAAATACAAATTAACACTACCAGATGGAGTTGAAGTATTGAAGAATGTTTAGTTTTCTTTTTGAGATCGAGGTGAGAAAGAAGCAAGCATCTACACGATAAACTTTGAGCTTTGCCACTTTAACTCTGATGTGATAATTAACCAGAAGTTGTTCTACTGTCACTTTAAAAAATAATAATAATAATAATAATAATAATTGCTGCTTTAATTTCCTACAATAGTACTGAATCAGATACTACACACAAAGCCTCAAACAGCAATCCTCGCTCTTTTTTACTTGCCTTGCTCCTCACTTTTACTAAGGGTTGTAGAGAACTTTCATGATATCCAAGATCTAATATATTGACACACAAATCATTGATTGAATCTGATTTAAAATAAACTGAAGTTGATCGATCGAATTGAATCAAATCGAACATTGAAACAAATCGGAAAATGAAACAATATTGCACAAAGATGACAAACAAAACAACGTTGCATTCTATATGCAAATGCTAAACACGATTTTACCTAATTGCTTTCCACCACCATCGAACCATCACTTTATAAAAACAGAAATAAAAGATCACCATTTACGAAATTCCTTTCTTGTTAACAGAACCATGCACTGCTAGCTTTTAAGAAAATCTTCACATTAATCCTTATATCACAAGCATATAGATATCCCCTTATATAAATAAGTAACACTGGCATAGTTAGTTACACACTCCAATCTATACACATATATGCAACCAAGTCAAATAATCAAAAGAAAAAATGTGTGGTGCTAGAGCAATCTTGGCAGTGTCATTACTACTAGTAGTGACCTTCCAAGTTCTCAGTGTCTCATCATGTCCTCCTTCTGAATGGGCAGCACTCATGTCCTTCAAAGCAGCTCTTAAGGAACCTTACTTTGGAATCTTCCATTCCTGGAGAGGTACCAACTGTTGCTACAATTGGTACGGCATCAGCTGCGACCCGACTACACACCGCGTCGCAGAGATCACACTCCGGGGCCTCACTGTGGGAGACAACCATCGCCGCTACAAACACACCAAAACCACAAGTGGATACATGACTGGACACATCTCTCCATCAATTTGCAACCTCACACAGCTCTCTACCATTACCATCTCCGACTGGAAGGGTATTTCGGGAAATATCCCTAAATGCATTACAAGGCTAAATTTTCTCCAAATTATAGATCTCTCCGGAAACATGATTTCCGGAAAGATTCCATATAATATAGGGCATCTTACTCAGCTTATGATGCTCAACCTCGCAGACAATCATATCTCAAAAAGGATTCCAGTTACAATTGTAAACCTCTTTAACTTAATGCAACTCGATCTCCGTAACAATGCCATAGAAGGCCCCATTCCCAGTAACATCGGCCGGCTCAGAAAGTTGAACCGGGCATTACTAAGTCACAATAGAATAAAGGGTCGAATTCCACGGTCTTTTTCAAATATTTACGGGCTAGCAGACTTAGACCTGTCATTGAACCAGTTATCTGGTCCAATTCCATTTTCATTAGGACAAATGTCGGTTCTGGACTCGCTGAACCTGAAGTATAACAATTTGACCGGGAGGATTCCTAGGACTTTGTTGGCTTCTAGAATGAGCCATTTGGATTTGAATAGAAATGCTTTGACAGGACCTATACCAGATGTGTTTAGTGAAATCTCATATTTCATAAACATTAATCTGTCACATAACAATTTGAACGGTTTGATTCCTAAGTCAATGGTGTTAGCCACTTACATTGGCCATGTCGACTTTAGTCACAACCACCTCTATGGGAGGATTCCGGTTGCTTCCTCCTTAAGCCATCTTCAGCCGGAATCATTCCGACACAATGGACACCTTTGCGGCAAGCCACTTCAACCATGCACTCATACTCGCATACACAAACATGAATAAATAGGTTTGGGTTGGAATGGATAAACCCAAATATAAAAATATTATTATTATTATTATTATTATTAACTAATTAACATAAGAGGTATAGTCTGTAATTTATTGTCTCTTTAAAGTTTCAAACGTGCAATATATGCATAACAAAACGTGTGATTACTAGCATGTATACTAAAGTATGATTTTTGAACTTAGTTTAAAATAAACATTTGATATTTACAGTATATAGTGGCAAATAAAAAGATAATTAAACTCAAGGTGGAAAATAAAAGGATTGCAGAACTTTTATTTAAATAATAATAGATGTTAAAACAATCCATTAATCCATTTACACACTACTGAAAAATCAGAAAAAAAACTAATCCATTCGGTACATCTAGAGCACCAAGCACAAGAAATCCATCCACTAATCTTTCTACAAATAAATTTTCATTATTTGAACCTTTCTATGATAAACTTGCCTAACCTTGAATGTTGAAATAAACTGTATAATGCTCATCCCTGAAGCTGAATAATGGCTCTAAAAGAAAATCCTGGTATGCACCTTTAGCTACAAAGCTAATAGGATGGTATTGCTTTAATCCTTTCCCAAAAACAAAACTTGTTGCTTGGTTAAAACTAGCTTCAGAATCAGACTTGCACTTGAGCTTAAGTCCTGAACCAGGCCTCATATCGCTATGCACGTAACAATCTTTATTGCTTTCTGATTCTAAAGATACAGTCTGATTTCGTCTGTCCAATCCTGGTACGACTAGAAAATTCGAAAAAGGCCCGTCGTGGGAGGAATCTACAACGATAAGAGGTTGGTCTGGTCCTTGGTGACTTACGGTCATTCCAGGTAGATCAATTGGTTCTAGAATCACTGATTTACTAGTGGGGTCTTTTTGGATAAGTCTAAAGGTAGCATAAAGAGCGAATTCGGTTCCAGCTGCAGGTAAGTTTTGCATTGAGAGTGATTGGTTTGTGTTTGTTATAACAAAAGTTGAGTTTTCAAAGTCTTGTGACAAAGAAACTAGTTGATTATTGTAACTGGAAGGAATAGGAGTAATCCAATCTGCAACAGATGTGTTACCACCAGCTTTAATGTCCCAATTTCTGGAGGTATGACCGGCGAGAAGATATGGTCCATAAAGAATTGCTTGAAGAGATGCAAATTCAGGTCTGTCATCTGAATTTAATTTGAAAACACAATATCAGTACTGTCAACACATTCTTTCATGAAAAATATGTACATTTCATTCATAGACTCTTGTAAAGCTACCTTTTATGGCTTCTGTTCTGAGGATAAGAGGCAATTGAAGGTCCAGCTTGTCACTGGCACCCCACTGCCTTGCGATTGACAAAAAATTCCCTAGAGGTTAAGACAGTAAAACATTACTTTCTTGCTTCAAATGTTAATTTTTCCTGCTATTGGAAAATACATAAATATGTATAGTTACTAGTGCGTGTGTGAGTCTTGTCTTAAATATGAATGGCGTAAGGGCTTGTTCTTTTTTGTCATTTTTAATTTTTGGTGATTACATATTCTAGCATCTATCACCTTGAGACAAGGGAAGTAAAGAGAGATTCAGACCTGGAGCTGGTAGAGATAAAGTTTCAGTATTCAATATCGCCTTGGCACCATCGGTGTGAGTCCAAGATGGTAGACGAAAGTTCAATGTTGATGAAACCCCATTTTTCTGCAGATATCAAGTTTTGAAAGGATCGGTTGTAGACGAAAAATATGGAGGATCTTATACTACATGTAGCGTTGGTTTCTTATATAAGGCTAAAATATGGCATTATAAATTTATAACCTCAAAAGTCTAATACCTATCATCAGAAGATATGTGGCTAAATGAGAAGCAATAAGACAATGTAATAGGTACCTCGTTAGGAGAGAGTGTAAATGTAACTCGTAGGTAAGGGTCCGATGAAGCAGCTGGAACAACTCTCTGAGTGAGCAAAACGTTCCCAGATTTCCAATTAAATGAACTTGATATGTACTGAATGATGTATAGACTAGGATTATTCCCTTCCTCTTCAAAATAAATAGAATCTCCCAGCTTTGAGAATGATTCAATTCCTAATCACAAAGGAAAAATAAATTGAGAATAGCACACTAGTAAGAGGAGTTTGCAAAGAATATTACTCTCTCCGCCTCAGAGTAAGTTTCATGTTCAATATTTGTTTGTTTTTAATATTATTTGACATTTTAGAAAACCAACAAATTGTTTAGTACCTATTTCTAGAAATAAATAATCTTCTTTATTGCATCTCAAACCACTTAACCATTCAACTAACTACTTTAACAGTAATGGTATTTTAGTCAATGAAGCTCGTTTAATGAAGAAAGTTAGTACCCAAGGTGATTTTTTTAATAAGTATACAAAATCTTAAAAGGACTATGCAGTTACCCACCTGTTCCGTAGCAGCACCAGAATGAATTAAACGGTGTTCCCCAACCATGAAAAGTTTTAGCTTTGGAAACCCCATTTGCTAGAGGAAGCATATAAATCATCACCCCAGGATCAGTTCCTCTTTGAACACCGAGTACACCATTTGTTAAGGCGCGCTCATAATAATCTGCATAAGAGACTTCTTTGGTCCATCTGAACAGGTGGCGTGAAACCTGAAATCAATACTTGGTAACATGAATATTTCAACAGAAATAAACTATGGATCATCCCTGAATATCAAGCAGTATGTAACACTGACAGAGTAACGCATTCAAGCATAAATCATAAGTATAATACCAATGAGTTACAATGTGATGATAAATCTTCCCTCTACGACAATTTAATGAAATGCTAAGAAAGTCTTCCCGAGGATTACATGACAAACTAATAGAATGATGAGTGATTGGTTCATTTGGTTGTACCTTCAACATATTATAAGTTGTGCATGATTCTTCATTCTCTGTTGACATGGTGTCTGCCATTCTCTTTGGATTTCTCCTGCACAAATTGCGACTAAAAGACTTCAGAAAGAAATCTAGAAGTGGTTATCATGTAAAAATAAAGAAACATAACCTTTCTGCTTGATTTTCTTTAAGAAATCAAACTCCATGGATAATTTTAAATGCATAGGAAAAAAACTGAAACTTAAAAGAATGACATATTAGTACCAGAACTCGCCGACTGATGTCCCTCCCGTTGCATAGCTGTGTGAAGAGTTTACAATTCTCATAAAGAATATCCCAATATCCTAACACACCAAAACACAAGAGCTACTCTTAGAAATTGAGAAAAATAGGGGCGTTTTAATGATTACTATCCTCAAGTTTACCCCCAAAACATTATAATTGGAAAGTAAATAATTTATACTACACCAATAGATAGAAAATAAACATAATTTTCTGAAGACTTTATGAAAATTAAATCAATAATCTACAATGTGCAAAAGGAACTCACCTTATAAAGTGGATCACCTGTGACTTCATACCGCATTTGAGCTCCAACAACAATTGGGATATGTGTATTAGCATGAAAATCAGCTATGTCATCTGCCTACAAGAAAAGAGAGTTTCAAAAATAATTTTGGGACCAGTCATTAAATTAAATACAATTTCTAAACTTGAATACAAATACCCGCGTTCAACATCCAACTGTTTAATTGTTTTATTTGGAGATGATCATAACAATATTATATAACATTTAAGTAGAGGACACTTATTTTAAATGCAAAAAAGGTGGATACATCTGAATTTTCCTCTTTATATGATCGATCTCTTTGTCACAAAAGTTAAGTTAAAAAATAAGGCTACAATTAAATTTTACACTTAACCTTTCTCGTTGTATGTTATGTATGCACTTTATATATTGCTCATCTGAGTGCTAACATTAGTTATAACTTATAAGTGCTCTCTTGAAATTAAATTGAAGAACAGCTGCAACCTCTTGAAATTTACAGCCAAAATTATGTGATAACAAATGTTGATGAGTTACCTCTACTGAAAGCAGCCCTAAAAAGCATGGTTTGTCGAAAAGGTGAGCCAACAATAAATGCTTTGAATCCCCCTGCATGTTTGTATACATAACAGATTTACTTCAGAATAACCAGGCACCATGTGCTATAATCATCAAATTTGTTTCAAAGATGGCAAGCTTAAAAATCCATCAACTATGGAATAGAATCCATTTCTGTTAAATTCTACATTTCAAAGCAACCTAGTTACATAGTCATCAAGTGAAGAACGTTACAAAAACACGCTAAAGAAACTACATGAACTAGTTAACCTACCGTTAAGCTATATAATTTGTAAAGGACATCATTCATTCCTCCAGTTTCATCATTCAAGGAATCATAGTGTCTATGTACAGTGTACTTTGTTACTACATTCATCACTCGGTTATAAAAGTAATCGACCATCCATGTCAACATTTTTAGAGCTTGAGGATTTCCAACTAGTGTATGTTGATCCAACAAGCCAGCCAAGATCTGTCAAAGTTGATTAATTGAATCACACAATGTTAAGGCCAAAAGCACTTTCGTAAGTCAAAATCTAGTTTTACTTATACCTTGTGAATGGTGTAATAGGGAGCCCAAACAGGTCGACTAGCTTCAAATCGATCAAAAAACTCAGCTGGAAATGCAGATAAATATCCTGTTCCAATTTTCTCCTGACAAGCAGATAGACCGGTAACAAGAGCCGACATTTTCTTCTTTAGACTATCGTTCATTGTGCTTGCCCACATTAGAGCTGATGCACTCAAGTAATGCCCTTCACATTGGCAAAATAAACATTACAATTATAAATTAACCTTCAAAAGTGAAATGCAGAAGCTGAAAATTGCGACAGGACTAGGAGTAGAGTTCTTGTGAGAGAACTGAACAGAACATGCACCCCAGAATTCATTAAGACAATTGCCAAAGACCATGATACAAAAACAAATAAAGAACATAAAAATGATGATGAATAAAGTAAATCTTACCAACAAAATGTCCTCTGAGCTCCACACCAGGAGCCTCCCATCCACCATAAGGTGTACCCGGAGTTGGTAATCCAGCCGTCTTCCTGAAGTTCC